CCTAGCTGTAGCATTTCGTCTTCTTGCGCCCCATCCTTACTGTTCAATATGTGTCAGATCATTTCCCAGCTCCTGTTGCCCATGCTGGGCAGGTTGTTTTCCTTGACTGTGATGAGGTCTTTCTAAAGTAATTAAAGTTAAAATTGCGGGAAGGGGAGGGTGGTGGTGGATGAGGCCGCTGCACGCATTATAAATTGGCTTGGGGAGCCACTGAGGAATTTGGGCTGTTTGATTGCTGCTGGTGGAGGTGTTGTTCAGGATTTGCCAAAGTGATTCACGTAAGCTGAAGGAAGGTGAGAGCTGCGTAGACAGCACGCAAGCCACAGACTGGGATCTTCTTCCCCTCCTTCCCATGCCTTAAAACTGTCTAAAAGTTAATTTCTGAATAAGCCGTACTTTGCGTACTCTCAGTATAAACTGCTTTCTCCTGAGAAGAACATCTGTAGGGATGGCAAAACCGAACATGCAGACATGCACAGTCTTTGATTTGCCTCCACTGCAGACTCTGGAGCAGATGCTAGATGCATACATCACAAACTAGCTTGTGGCACTGCATGTGGCTCTGACTCTGAAAAGGAGGAGGAAGAAATCTTTTGACTGCATCCTATCACAAATTTCAAGCTCAGCCTTCAAGCTGAGAGCGCCCACGAGCCGATGGGTGGCCTGAATTCCTGTATATCGTCCCGGGAGCTGCAGATACTGGGCCTTTTGGGGCATGCCATAGACTGTGGAGAGCAACCAGTGTTGCAGTGGGTGCGTCTTGGGGTCTATGTGCTATTTTTCACAATATTTCTCTCCTGACTGCTGAATATTGTAAAAGGAATTTTCAGCGAAAGTTGTGAGTTCTCTCTCTCTCTTGATATTCTGATGCTGCAGTCTCCTGAGATCCTGATGACAGGAAGGTTTGTTTTCTGCAGCTTAAAATGAATGTTAAAGGGATATTTCTACCAGACAAAATGTTTGTGGGTCTAGCTTCTTTGCTAGTTAACAGTTTTAATTGAAAAAGCACTCAGTAAGGGGATAATGCATTTGTAATAGCATCTTCCTTCTGAGGTTATGGAAAATGCTATAATTAAGCTGATAATTAAGTCCTGTGAAGTCAGTTATGATCGCTGGCAAAGGCACAGGGAAAGTCATGAGAAAGGGGTTGCCCAAAGTCTTATTCTGAGTCAGAGGCAGAACCCAAGAGTCTTGGCACCTGTTTCCTCCTGAGTGATGTGTAGGATTCTTCCTGCTTCTGTCCTTCATGCATGAAATGACATTGTAGAAAATTCAAATTGAATAACTCAAAATTTGGGGGTCAGACATGGATAGACCAAATATATGCACGGGCAGGTACTAGAATCTCTTTAAAATGCAAATTGTTTTCTTGCTAATCTGGATAATTTCCTTAACTCAATCAGCATCATAGTGCATGTTTTTGTTATTGCTTTTCCCTTGAAGTAGTGTACTGCAATGTAAATCGCCCTGATTTCACTGTCACCTTGCATTACCTTCCACAACGTGATCCAACTTGCTGTGACTGATACAATCCGACTTGGTGTCATCAACTGATGTCTCCCATGGGGCAGCAGAAAGAGCGCATTTTCCTGTGGCCTATAAATGTTTTAAAGAATGGCTTTCAGAGTGACGGGGTCCCCACTCCTTTCCTTTTCTGCTTAATAAGCTGTCCCTGAAATGAGCTCCATCCCACCCTGTGCTGAGCCCCTCCAGCCCTGCAAAGCCCTGCAGTGCATGCTGAGCCCTGAGGGGTGAGAAGTGCTGGTGAGTTGGACAGGGTCTTCTTGTGCGCTCGCTGCCGTGCTGCACTGGAGCCGCTTACAGGATCAAAGCTCTTAGGAATCCCTGCTGGATTTCTTTGCAGAGCCCCAGTTGCTGGCTCCCCCCCAGGATATTCACTCTTGTCTTCATGAAATTATGGGCTGATCCCTTCAGTGTGTAGAGATCACTGTTCTGGAAAAGGAGTCGTTTTAAGTCTGCTTATTTAACACTGTGTTTCTGCTAAGATAAGGACACAGAGAGATTTCAATCAGTGGTGCGTGTGCTCAGATCAAGAATATGAAATATAATGAAAAGAACAAATACCAGCAGCATGCAGTATACATGGGAAAGCCATCACATAGGGCTGCTGCAAGGTGCTGCAGTCAATAGTGACATTTTAAGAGTGACCATTGCATTGATCTGCTTTAGCCTAATGGTTTTAGACACTTCTTGCATCTGATAATTTAGCAACAGCAACTACACGGAGAGATGGGTGGAATGAGTTCTGGCTGAATTTAAAGCAAAAATCTAAAAAATCTTGTGGTTGTTGATTCTGTTTCCAGACTTGAAGGTAGGCTAATACATCCACCCATATCAACTGGTCTAATAGCAGACTCTTTTTCTTCCCGTGAAATTTGGTGTCTCTTAGGCCAAAAGGAGCAGGATGGGGCAGAGGAGTCAGCTTGGCCTATGATAGGAGGCTACGCTGGACTCTATTTGGTGGGCTTGTGTCTCTGCGTTTTTCCCCTCTGGAAAAGACAAGCCCTGCTCTAGGATGGTGTGGGAAGGAACTGAGTCTGGCAGGAAGGTTTTCCCTTGCTGCAGTTATAGGATGAGATGGGGACGTAAAGTATGAAGCGAAATGTGTATGGGCAGATAGAAGAAAAGAGACGTGTATAAGCATTGAACTATGCTGTTGAGAGAGGCAGGTATTTTTAAGATCCTTCTATAGACATGAATTTCCCTTTTTTACCATTTTCATTAAGCATCCCAGAAGTTCTCCAAGGGAAGAGTTATATTTGATATAATGCTTGGATATACTTCAAATAGCCACATGCCTCATTTACAAAACATACAATATACTGCAGGGGCTTGGGACTGCATAGGCTTAGTTCATTAATGGCAGGAACAGTCTTCTCTTCTTGCTAATGGCACTGAAACTGTGTCTACACTGCTTGCTCTGCATGCTGAGCACACAGGACTTTTAAGAGATAGATACTGATGGAAAGCTGAAATGAAATGCCTTGTGGATTCGCAATAGTCTGGCTCTTCCTCCTTCATGTACTCCCTCCTCTGGAGGATGGGGTTGGCCCTGTTAAAGGTTTGCAGAAACCTGACTGTTCAGTGGCTGCTTCAGAGAAAGGAAGAGCCCTGGCAGCACTCCTGGCTGCTGTCCTCTTGCCGAAATTGGTTGTTTTCTTGAGAAGTGACTTGCCTATAAACTCTCTGGGGCTGGGGAATAGTCTGTTCATCTTTAATTGTGCATCAGCTGGTCCTAACTTGGTGCCTCATTGGCTATTCAGTGAAATAATAATGAATTTGAGTCTGTAGGTACCATGATGTTGATTCAGTAGGTACCATAATGAGTGTATGGATTCACGATACGTAGCAGGTCCAGAGTAGCATGTTAGACGCTGGCACTAAGTGATACTTCGATGAAAACACTGATCCTTTTCTTTCATTCCAGGGGATGGCCAGGTTGATTTTGATGAATTTATGACCATTCTGGGACCTAAGCTGGTATCGTCGGAAGGCAGAGATGGCTTTCTGGGAAATACAATAGACAGCATATTCTGGCAGGTAAGTGGTAATCTGTTAAAGGCAACATTAGCCAACAAGTATCAATGGCTTCCAAATAACAGTGATTTGTTGGGAAGCATGAGATGTTTTGCTAAAAGGGAAAGCCTATGTAAAGGATATTCAGCTGCGTCAGGATGTGCACTGTATAATGTACCGTGATGCTGGAGTGACCTCCTCTCTGTGAGATGTCTGATCCGAACCCCACGGAGGAAGAAGAGACGCATTAGTGGCTGCGATTGAACTGTGGCTGAACACAACAAAGCACTGGGTTATTTTTGCAGCACATCTGGGGGCATTTTGGAATTCGTCTTTGGAAGATAAAAACTTTTTTTTTTTTGAGAACATTAGATTAAGTAGTCTTTTGAGTTAGAAACCTTGAATCTGTCCAGCTGCTCACAGAAATGTACTGTTCATCACCTGCTTGGCTGTGGCTAACGGATGCACCCAGCAGACCAAGTGCACGCTATTCAGGTCATGTTTTATCAGTATTTCTGTGATTAATTCAGGTCCAAGACTGAGGATAACTGTGTGCAGTGCCAGTACAAGTTTTACCCATGTTGCTGTCCTGTGTTTCTGTGTCGGTTTGGTCCTACCTGTTTCAGTGTCGGATGGGAGGCAGGATTTACAGCGTGGAGCTGCCTTACATCTATCATGCACTGTGATTTCACGCAGGATTAGACCTTCTTGGAAAAGCAAGGGCAGTCCAGGCTGTTATGGTGGGAATTAAAAATCTCCCAAATCACAGTGCTGCATGTTGCTTGTGAGTGGATTAAATGTGTGTTTTCCTGGGAGATTACTGCTCATTTCACTGATCACCCAACAGTCTTCACTTGCTAATAGACCTGGGCTGTTACTGACCTCATGTGAATCAAAAGAGTGAAACTTGGAAGCATTTGTCTTCTGTTACTATCCTCTGGCACTATTCAGGTTGAATTGCATGGAGTTTTGTAATGGTCTTTTAAAGTCCTTTAAAACTTGCTCTTGGCCTCCTGGTGAATGATATAAACACTCCTGGAAATCCTGGTCTGGATTCCAGCATTCGGTTGTCAAAGCAAGTGTTTGATGTTGCTGAAGTGCAGTGGTTTATGGTGTATCTGGAGGGGATGTAGTGCTTGAACTCACACTATGAGTGGTAGGACTGTAGCAATCATTAATGTTTTTATTGCCTCCATTTCGTCTTGAGAGCCTCATCACAGTGCGTGACTAATGGAGAGGGGAGGAAGGACTAGCTCTTCTCATGAAACAATTTGTGTTTTCAAGAGCCCTGTGCAAGCCTCGCCTCACGGGACCCAAATGCACATTGGAAAAATGATGTTCATGATCTGAGCTCTTTGATGGTGAAGCAGAGACGACTGGAGCGCTCCCTAAAATTCAGCTCACAAGTTAACCTGCTGCCATTTAGAGATCTTCCAGCCCATTTAAATGGCTGCAGTGGCTTCACTCGGAGGTTTGAGAGGAAGGGAAGATGTGTGTGATCTGGTTTTAGAGCAGTGGGACTCCTGGGTTCAGTTTTTGCTTTGCTTTTTCCGCCCAGAAACCTGTGGTCCCCCCTGCATGGTTTCATACCTGTGTCCCCCCGGGGGTCTGTGCTGGGATGAGTGAAGAGAGTGTGGAGACTGCCGATAACCAGCCCCTTGGCAATGGGGGAGACCACTCTGGGAGTCTGACTTAGTTGCTCAGAGAAGATGTTTACATTCTTTTACTTGTAAAGGCAAAAATACTGCCTCCTTACATAGCACATTCCTGGATTTCAAAGCACTTTGCAGGAGAGTCCAAATCCGAGTCACTATTTTAGACATGGAAAGGCTGAGGCCTGGAGAGGAAATGGCTTAACTCAAGATCACTCTGCAAAACAAGATGAGCTGTGGTGAACTTGGGAATGTAAAATGTGTCTTCTGTGTCTCAAGCACGGTCCCAAGGCAACCCACACGGCACAGGTGGTGGCATTGCAGTGAGTAGCAGGTTAACTCACGGGCTGGGTATTCCCAACTGGGCAGTAAGGTAGGTTTGCTTTACCTACGTTCATCCTCTCCTACAGGGCTGGCTATGGTCCAAGAGCAGATAAGTCTTCATTTCACGTTTCTCTTCTACTGGATTAGAGATAAGTCATGGAGAATGCAATAGTTTTGCTGCTTATTTTCTGAGAGAAAAAGCATGTAGGGAAACGCCATTCAGGCTGAGGAGCAATGGGTTCACTTTCTTCTGGCCAGAGAAAGCTTTTGGCTTTACCAAAGCCTTTCCCAAGCGCGTGAGTCAACTTGTCCATAAGCAAAGCACTTACACATCTGCGTTACCTTCAGTGGAATTACATAGACATATTACATACATACAAAGTATTTTCCTGAGTCGGGGCCTAGCTGTGCTTCCCATATCCCATTGATATGCATTTTTCACATTTGTTGGAGGAGGAGTGGTTTGGAGAGGGGTGCTGAGTTTGACTTGCTGAAAGAGCACTTTGCTTCTGCAGAAATTAATCCCCCTGAGTGATTTTAAGGACAGAATTGTGCCCACAGGCCTGGGGTTACGAATGGCTCCGAGTGGACAAAGGCTGCAAGAATGTGACAAGAAGAGGCAGCTCTGTCTTCGGGGATAGCTGGCTCAACAGTGCTCCCAGGGAACTTCACCCCAGAGCTGCATGCAGCGAAAGGCATCTTGAAGAGGCTCTGGTATCAGGCATAGGGGGAGAAAATATGTGTTGGCATCCAGAAACTGCCTTGCCCTCTTCCATCCAAACAGCTTTCTCCCACTGTCATGATTTTGGTTTGCAGGGTATTTTTGCTGAGGGTCCAGCTTCCTATGCTGTGGCACTTTAGTGCAGACTCTGTTCCAAGCACGCTTTAATAACGCTTTAAATAATGCAACGACAGAGTTAAATAATAAACAGCAGCAGAAGGAGAGAGGAATTCAAAGGAACAGACGAGGGCCTGGAGATGCATTTGCAGATGAAACTGGGAGTGAGTTGGTGGGATACAGGAAGGCAGTTCCAGATGGCAGAAGCTGCAGAGGGGAAGGATCTTACAACAACAGTAGTGGGGCTGCAGGAGACAAAGAGGGGGTAGAAATGCTAGAATAATAGGGAGCAGAGAGGGATCGTGCGTGAAGGAGACAGACTTGAGATAATAGGGAACTGGTGCGTCTTTCCTATTGTATGTGTTGCCTGAAGAATGATGGTCAGCCAGGGAAAAGTTAGCTTCTGCTGAGACCTGAGCATTGGCAGGTATTAGAGATACAGAGGGTCTCTCAGATATGTTTTCCCTCCTTGATTTCCCATGTGGGCTTTAAATTGAGTCATATCAGTTTGCGATAGAGGCAGCTGACTCTTGCTTTCTCAGGTAGCAGTGATCAGTTCTGCTCCAGTTAGAACGGCTCTCCGAGGTCTCTCAGGATGGTTGGAGAGGTATTTGAGGGGAGGGAAAAATCATCCCTGCAAATACTATTTCAGGCCAAGTCAATACAGACCAATGATATCAGGAGAGCTGAGGAAAAATTGACTTTCCTCTACCTCAGAAAGTCTGTTCTTCCTGAAAATTTCTAGTGAGATGTAGTGTGCATGAAGCAGTTTTGCAGAGGACATCCCCGGACGCCTTGTGTTCTATTTCCAAATGATTTTCTTTTTCTCATGTTGACTGTTTGCAAATGAAAGTAAAATGTACCCTTGCGCACACATCTTTAACTTATTTGCAAAGAGTAAGTAAGGAAAAAACATCTAGGGAAATGCCATTCAGGCTGTGGAGCAACAGATTCCCTTTTCCCATTTCTACCTGGCCAAAAAATACTTTTGGTTTTACCAAAGCCTTTTGCAAGAGTGTGAGTCACATCAGGCAGTAATTTGTTATAAGCATTCGTTCTTAAATATGCAGCTGTCCTGTAACCAGCAGCTCCTTCTTGACGTTACTGTCAAGTGGCGTCTGAAGGCTGAAAGCACCGACTGAAGTCCTGTTCTCCATGGTTTGAGGCAGACCCACTGTGGAGCTAGCGGCCGTGATGCAAGCAAGCCCTTTGACTGTTTCCACAGCATCTGCCTTTATTCAAAACAAAAAGCAAGGAAAAAAGTGCATAGATGAGATTTTCAGAGTACCTCATGAACGAGGACCAACTCACTGGAGATCAGTGGGAGAGCCTCGCCCAACACAGGGATGTTCACCCTCGCATGATCTGTGTCTGTCATGATCTGTGTCCCCTTTCCTCTCCATCTTTCTCCTGTATTTTTTCAAAAGTGGTCACCCTCAGCATATCGTCCTCTGCCTACCTTCTCTCAGATGTTCCTGCCTTAGTTCACACTTAGTGTCTTGAAGAGGGTTTTCTTTAATGTGTCAGGCAGTAATTTGCAGTAATTTGGTAGCTGTTACATGATCAGAGAGATGGTATTTGATTAATTTTCAGACATGAGAATTTGTTTTTCAAGAGTTTGTGGAATTCCAGTGTGCACTCAGAAGACGGGATTTTGTATAAGTGGGTTTGGGGGCCTTTCCAGCACGGCCATTCATAGCTATAAAGTGCTTTACGTGAAGAGCATTACAGAAAAGGCAAAACATCACTACTGGTAAGTATTAGCTCCTTTTTTTGTCAAACAAAACCCAAATCTGTCCAGTGTGTTGCACCGTTCTGAAACAGAGAAAGATAAAAAGAGAGAGGAGGAAATAGGCTTTTATGTTAATTGATGATTTTTGTCTAGACTATTTTCAAGTGTAGAGACCGCTGGAAACAAATGTTAAATAGTGTTCACGCACCCAGTGTAATGGAGCTCCAGTCCCGGTGGTAAGGGACAGAAGGTAACAGGAACAGAAGTAATAGTAATGTTGGATTGTAGGCTTTTATTTAAAACAGATCTCTTTATCCTGTTTAAAATGCTTTTTGAAGGCAGAACCAGTTTTCCTTAGGTTTGAGTGGTTAAACAACAGGACTGTGTCTGCCTTGGATGCAGAATACGTTCTGTACCCAGCAGAGCTGATGAGATTATTTTGAAAAGTCAATACTTTGTATGGGGATCATTTGAGAGG